GCTCATTAGTGCCACCAAGTACCAGTCAAGCCACCTCTCAAGTCGGTGGCTCTTAAAGAAGTTAGGTGGCTTGATTTTTTTTCTGGAAAGAGAACACTGGACTGAGCAAATTAATGTTTTATGTCAACATTTTCTCCAAAATAAAATGAAATTAATTAGCCTGAGGCCTAGCTTCTTCACTTTGCTTTGACTTCAAGATTTGCATCCATCATAATATAGATTTCCCCGCAGATTCAAGGTTCCATGGCTATATCGTCCACAGTCTGCAGCCCTCCATATATGTGGGCTGTAGAATTAGTCTGCAGCCCTCCATATATATGTGGGCTGTAGGAATATGTGCGACTTGTTCTCTGAACTGTCCCTGTTACAGTATCGACTTTCAGAGAAAACAAAGAGAAGGAAACTAGTCTTGTGCAGGGTAGAGCTTGGTGAAAACACCATTTCTATTTTGTTCCCCCAGAAAGGTGAAAAAGGAAATAGAGGAAGAAAAGTCCCTCTTAAGTAGAGTATAGGAATGTGGTAGGGAATGAAATAGTCATTTTGGTGTAACGTATTCCCTTCTGTTGATATTGACAATTCATCCACAGCAGAAGGGATTTCTGTCATAGCTTTTAAGTACCAAGCAAATATTAATTAAGGATGGACTATAAATTTGGTATGCAGAGGGACCATTTACATTTAAAATCTACAGTGTAGTTAGTTGTATCCGATAGTACTTTTTGTCTCTGTTGCCCTTCAATAAATAACACGAGAAGGCACTCGAGGAGCCTGAGGACCATATTGGCCCAGAGATGACACATGCAGTGTCCATGATCAAATTCTCTATTCAGCTGCTTCTACAACAAGATAATGTGATGTACGTACGTATTCTCTATCATTCATTGAAGTGAGTCAGATGATTAAGCCATCATTAGCGTGAGAAAAACTCAGTGTCCAACAAAATACGCGAGACAGTAATTTTTAGATCCTCCACCACCCGGATGGTGAATACACCAGAGAAGTGACATATTTCGTACGATTCTATCATCATGAACTTGTCTCAGGGCATTATTTCTTGAATGTGGTTCCCGTTTATTCACAAACCTCATTTCGTGTATCGTGGTGTTGATATGCATGTCTAGTATCGCGCTGTAGTACAAGTATACTTTCTGACTAACATGCCTGTGGATATCACATGCGTGATACAAACAATCTGTAAAGATTAGTAGTTGTAAACAGACAACTCATTCCAGATTCTCAAGTACCTAGATTTTAATTTTAATTTTTTATTAACTTTAAATCTCATCCAGTACTTTCCTTTCTTCTTCATTATCTCCCCCGTTGGGATTGCGTCTTTGATTCTTTGTATAACTTCATGAGAATTAGATAGGGTTAGACATCTATCATGATTAGGAGAGTGGGTCTCATCATGATTAGGAGTTTGAATCCTATTCTAGTTAGGAAGTGAGGCTAGAAATAGGATTTTGATTTTCCTATATATATTCTTCTGCTGTTCGAGGAAAAAACAAGGAGATGAGATAGAGAGCCAATATTTTTATAATCTAAGATTAGCAGAGAGCGTAGCCCGATTCAAAAATATTGTACGAGAGGCGAGAGTTTCGTAGTCTTGTCCGTTTAAAAGATTACAATATTAGAGAGTGCTTCACAGTCTTTGTACGTTCAAAAGACTGTAAGGAGTGAGTTTTGGAGAGAATATGAGAGTTGATTATGTATGTGAGGTTAAGAGATTGAGAGACGAGAGTTGAGTAGTTCATCTTGTAGTTCTCTCTGATACATAGCGGATTTCTCGTATTGTTGCCCGTGGATATAAGTCAAAATTGGTCGACCGAACCACGCAAATCTTTGTGTTCATTCTTCTTGATTGCTGTTATTTTCTATCTTATTGGTTGTAGGTTGGCTTCCAAATTGTAAAGATCGTAGTACGCAAGGGGACTAAAATTCCCCAACAAGTGGTATCAGAGTCATGGTAATGAATCCGGGAGTTACTTTTCAAGATAGAAGTCCACGTCGTGCGAGATTGAAGATTGGCTTTACAAGAATCAAGAAAAAGAAAAAGAAAAAAAGAAGGTACTATACCGACAGGAACACTGTAGCGATGGAAACATTGTTCACGTGGGTGAGTGCTTGGTTAAAAATTATTAAATCAAATCTGATGGTGCATATTAATTTGTCTTCTGATCGAGGGTTTAGAGGTGGATTTCGACGATCTAGGAGTTGATTCTCAGGTTTTGAAGTGCTCTGAACGCGATGGGAGAGTTTAATTTTTTAGATTTTACTTAGATTGGTCAGAAAGTGTAGAAAAGTTCTGATGGTAATGGTGAGACAAATCTGATGGCAGATAGGGCAAACAAGTATATGCGACGGATGAGACTGGTGTAGAGAATCAGATGTGATTATAGCTGTAAAGTTATCAGCATATAATTATTTAGAGTCATCGCGGGAGCAATACAGGTGGAGTACGAGGACAGCAAGTGAGGAAAGGCTATTGTCAAGTTCAGCTTGAGAAGATAAGCATGGTTGATTTGCTTATAATGTTAGAGGTGGCAAAGATCTCTTGGTGCGCACAGGAGAGATGGAGGCACCACAACGAGGCAGATAAAAGAGAGGGTCATAGGGGCATCCAGGTTGGAGTATGGATGTTTCAATCAAGAGCACGGATTCTTCAGATTGAAGTACAAAAGAAATAGAAGACTCTAGCAGGAGAGACAGTTTCAAGACGACAGTGATATATTTTTAAGGTAATTTGAGAATCAAAAACCAACATGGAGATTGCTGGGATTGTGTATTTGATTCTTTGTATAACTTTATGAAAATTAGATAGGGTTAGAGATCTATCATTATTAGGAGATTCAGTCTCATCATAATTAGGAGTTTGAATTCTATTCTAGTTAGAAAGTTAGGCTAGAGGAAAAACCAATGAAAGGAGAGAGAGTCAATATTCTTGTAATCTAGGGTTAGCAAAAGGTGTAGCCCAGTTCAAAAATATTGTGCGAAAGGCAAGAGTTTCATAGGCTTTGTTTGTGTAAAAGATTACAATATAGGGAGAGAGTTTAACAGTTTTGTCCGTTTAAAAGATTGTAATGAGCGGATTTTGGAGAGAATATGAAAGTTGATTATGTATGTGAGGTTGAGAGATTGAAAGGCGAGAGTTGATTGGTTCCTCTTGTAGTTCTCCCTGATACATAGTGAATTTCTCGTATTGTTGCCCCGTGGATGTAGGTCAAAGTTGGTCGACTAAACCACACAAATATTGGTGTTCCTTCTTCTTGATTGCGGTTGTATTGTATCTTATTGATTGTGAGTTGGCTTCCGAGTTGTAGAGATTGTAATACGCAGTTTGACTAAAATTCCGCAACATCCTCATCATTGAAGATCGTAGAAGCGCATTTTATTAGTGGAATTGGGATTCAAAACCCAATCTTAAGGGTATTTCATTAGCACGTATCTTCAATTCACTGCCCTTGAGGACTCGGTGCCTACAGATAGAGAGAAGGGGATTTAGTTGGCACAGGTAGTGTTGATTTAATCTCGTTAAGAAGATACCTGAATAATTGACATGGAGGAATAGTTGAACGCATCTTTCCTCTATTATAAGATATATGAAGGGGATTTAGTTCGTGCAGGTAATGTTGATTTACTCTAGTTAAGAAGATATCTCAATAATTGACATTGAGGAATGAATGCATCTTTCTTCTATGATATAACAACAACAACAACAACAAAGCCTCTATCCCGAGAGTTTGGGGTCAGCTACATGTATAAATATATACACACAAACACACACATACACATATATGAATTATATAATGCAACAAGTACAGCCTAATCCAAAGGTTTTAACATTAAGAAAGGATAAATCTGGTATATCATATTTGTATTTTCCTCTGTTTGAAAGTTGGTTTTGAGAATGTTAAAAAACCTAAAATGAAAGATTGACTGATTAAGGAGAGTGCCATTACCCGTTATGATTTTACAGCTACTCTAGTACTAAAGCTAGAATGGAATTGTAGCATACTGGTCACAGGAAGAAATTCTGATGAACATAATATGCTTGCTATGATTGTTAAGGTCCCTTTCTTGAGTCAAAAGATGACAAGAGTACAAGGAAGATCAATAATTTGGTGCAGAAATAATATTATAGTTTTTAAAGTTAGTCGAGGAAAATGGTTAACAAAATGTTGCATGCTCACCCAAAATTTGTACAAGAGGCTAATTGAAGAAAGAATTTCTCATACCATCTTGAACCTTAAAAATTAGAGGGGTGAGTACAAGGAAGGATTCCTTTTTTATGAATTTTCAGTTAATAAATAACATGACATAAACCAATTAATTATTTTCAGCTGATGACCAACACAATTCAGAACGACATGAGATTTGTGAAGGGTTGAGATCATTAGGTCCTACAAGTTATTCATTTCATTTGTCAGGATAAATAAACAATAAACTGTAATTTAGATGTGTAATGGTCAATAAGAAGGGGAGGAGTCTAGCTATTCTAAACCATTCTCCTGTGCATCCTGCAAACTAGGTTGAATTTGATGGTGAACAATAGTGATTCCACCATGATTGAGGCTGTTACTTCAATATTCCGTGGGTCAACGATCAGCTTTGCTGCTGGCACATTGGCGAGAATTCTACTAAACATATTAGCATCCTCTTAAACAGAATTCTACTAATTTCCGCTAACATGAATTCTCTGAAGATGCTTGGTGAAAGCCAATGAGGGATCAACTACAACAGCTACTTGTATTTTTGCAATTATAAAGAGAGATATCGATGCTGGAAATAACTATCAGTACACCAGCAACCAGAGCACACAGGTCAACCTCAGTTATGCTTTAAGATTCAATATATGGTCATTTGGATACCGTTTTACTACCTGAAAATTGCATGAATATATCAAAACAGACTCATCATTTTACTTTACAAATTCACGGAAATTAGCATTCAGATGTTTATCTTTTTTGGAAAAAAGAAATGCTTGGAACTAAAAGTTTTGATATTAAAGAATAAATGATTTTAAATATAGAAATGCAGAGGGGTGAGTCATATTTCACAAAGGATGCAGTTGACATGAGACCAAAGATGTTTGAAAGATTCGCATAAATAGGAAAATGATGAAGATACCTCGTCTCAATTGCCAAATCTAGATATATTACTTACCTACATTTTCAAACCTATAAAAACTACCTGATTGGTGATAGAAACAACCAAAAACTTTTCTTTTCTGCAACCCAACGAACTCATTGATCCAACAGATCTGTGTCAAATGCAAATCTGGATTGATCACAATCTGCATTATTGCACTTTTTCTTCTTTGCCTTACCTGCATATAAGCCTGTGGTTGGTTCGATCTGGTTAATAGATGAAAGACATATTTTTGTTTTCTGATCAGAAGTCCCGGTATATAGTTCTGCCAACTCATTTTCTCCGAGTGAGGGGAGCCCAAGTCTAAAAGAACCCAAATTTAAATGAAACCCTGCAGCAGGATGGCTGAATGTCAAGGCTACACAGAACTTCATGCACGACACCGCTAAGCTAAAGCAGTACAATGCCTGCAATGTTCAAGTCATGTCAGCAATATGTAACAACACTTCCACATCATGAATACTATCACAACTGATATCATTAGTTGTACTAAATTTCTCTAACATTCAAATATTAGTCGTAAATTATCTCCACAATATTTAAATCTGTTGTAACTGATGTACATTGACTTCTTCTATAAATAGCAAATACCATATATTTTATGCTACCAGAACCCTTGAATAAGAACAATTTTTTGAAACAGACCCATTTCAAAAAAAAAATTTTAAACCAACCCTTTTTTTTATTTACCAAAACCGACCCGATTTTGTGATTAGCAGTCTAATTACCTTCCTAAACAGTCGGGGTTAGCAACCCCGACTATTTAAGACATTAATTTTTAGGGTTTAAGACTTCTAATTAGGGTTTAACACCCTCCTAATAGTCGGGATTGGCAACCCCGACTGTTTAGGAAGGTAATTAAACTGCTAATCACAAAATCGGGTCGGTTTTGGTAAATAAAAAAAAGGGGTCGGTTTAAAAAAAAAATTTGAAATGGGTCTGTTTCAAAAAATTGTTCCTTGAATAACGTTAAAAAAACTTTGTCCTCCAATCTCCTAGATCATGCAATGGCAACCAACTCCACAAGCCCAAATGAGCCTCCAATGTGGCCAATAACAACAACCCAAACACCAATCTCCTTTAATCCGTTCAGCACAATGTCAATGAACCACCTTCGCACCCCTCATCCACACTTATCATTTATCTTCTTGACTTGTCAGTCCTAGAGGAATTCGTTCTTGACTTCCTTGTCAGTCATAGATGCATTTGTTCTTGGGTTCCTTGTCAGTCAAGATAACAAGGAACCTCTGCAGTTTCTCCCCCTCGCTACAGGACGAACCTCCTAAGCCCAGCCCACTCCCAACCCAGCCCCATGGAACCGACAAGATAGGATAGTGCTGCTTTGGTTGAAGTCCACCATTATGGAACGTGCATTGGATCATAATACTTATGCCACAACCTCTCATCATGCTTGGCTTACTCTGCAGCGCATATTTCAATCTCAATCACAAGCACGAGTTATGCAATTACGCTCTCAATTGCAAAAACATGCGACAAGGATTTCTCATCTTCAACTATGCTGAGAATAAGAGTACTTTTGCTGATCTCCTAGCTGCTACATCCAACCATGTCAATGAAGCGGACCTTATTGAATTTATTCTCTCTGGGCTCTACCTGAAGTTTGGTCCATTCGTCGCCTTAGCTTGTCTCATGTGTGCTGCCATCAATGTTGATGATCTACTTGGCAACCTCCACCAAGAAGAGAAGCATCATAAGTTAGCTAATCAGCAGTTACTGCTCGACTATACCAGCCGTGGCACTGACCATCATCAAGACCATGCCCACAACAGGCTCGGTGTTATCGTCCTTAGTCCAGCCAGAACAATATGTAGATAGTATCTAAGATATGAAAGTTTAGAGAATGGCTTGAAATCTTTCAGCTAGAGGTGATTATGCTTCATATAATTGATTATGCTATTTCTTGGAGAAATTGTTGTTGAAGGGCCTTTCTGATAGACCAATGTGCATGCTTTCTTATTTTCTGAACAAATTCAGGTGAATAAACAGAAAAGGTTGAGGTATGGTTTCCACTTATTTCCTGACCATTCAATTTTCATTTGATTGTCTTCATACATAGAAATTGATGAAATTAGTCATATTTTTAAGTGTCCACATTAATTATTCTAGGAAACTACATATACAAGGGCCATGGAGTTACAGTGATATTAGTTTCATATACTAGAGGCTTTTTGTTGTATCTTATTAGGAATCTAATATTGTAGTATTGATATTTTGTACCTTCTGAAGTTTTTTGTCATGCATATAACAGGATGGAAGGTACAGAGGTGCCTATTTTGCTATTTCAAGAGGATAGTGCCGATTATCTCCTAATCTGTATAATCACTATGGCTGCACAAATAGCAGAGCTACTTGCACAGGTCTCACAACTCATATCAGAGGAAGAGTCAAGTATACAGTCGCGTGCATGTTCGGGCCTCAAACATGGCATTATAGATCTTAGTCTTCAATACAACAAATCCAAGATGAAGAGTAGACCCCGTGATTTTCGTCAGATATATCATGTGTATCCAGATTGCTTCATGAAACTGTGTATGGTACTATGAGGCCACAACTAGCAGAGCTATTTGCACAGGTCTCATAACTCATATCAGAGGAAGAGTCAAGTATACAGTCGCGTGCATGTTCGGGCCTCAAACATGGCATTACAGATCTTAGTCTTCAATACTCCAAATCCAAGATGGAGAGTAGACCCTGTGATTTTCGTCAGTTATATCATGTGTCCAGATTGCTTCATGAAACTGTGTATGGTACTATGAGGCCACAACCATTTAAAAGATACACGTTATATTAGTATTGAGGAGATGGTTGCTATTTTCCTTCTCACAATTATACAGAATCAACGATATAGCACTACTAACAAGAGGTTTGATCAATCACGATTTGTTATAAGTGTGCGCTTCAACAAAGCACTCGTAGCTCTTGTATCCCCCCTTCTCTGATGGCTTCACCTCCTACTGACCCGCCAGAAAATGTCACATTAGACTCCCATTTTGGGCTATTTCAAGGTATTTTAATTTCAAATGCATTATATTACTCTTCATTCTTTATTATAAAATTATTTGATTTATATCTCATACATGTTAATGGAATGGATATGATTGTATCGGTGAAATCAATGGGACTCACATTCCTCGTATGGTGTATTGCATGGATCGACCTCATACTGTAATAGACATAGCTATCTTTCCCAAATGTCCTTGCGGCATGCACGTTTGATCTCAAGTTCATTTATGTCCTGGTGAGATGGAGGGATCTACAAATGATTCACAGGTATTGAAGGATGTAATGAAATGAAGGAGTGAATGCAGATTTCCACTTCTAGATGGTAATAATCTTTATGTCAAATTGTTAAGTTTAACACTTACTTTTTAAGATTTTTGTCGATTACAATTCTAGCAATATGTTATCGTAGGCAAATTCTATCTGGTGGATTGTGGTTATCCCAATAGGTTGTAGTTCTTAGCTCTGTATCGAGGTACAATGTACCACCTAAAGGAGTTTGGCCCAGCCAGCAACCGTCAGCAGCCACGTAATCCGCATGAGTTATTCAACCATCGGCATGTATGTCTCCGAATGTGTGTCGAACATATCTTCGACGTTTTCAAGTCGAGGTTCACTATTTTCAAGAATCAACCTCCTAGTTTTTCATGTGAGATATAGAAAAATATGGTTTGGGCTTGTATCGGCATGTGTAACTTTTTGAAGTTAGCGAACTCAAATGATGACTTTGAAGTTTCCAATCTTCCTTATGCGGCACCACGCAATGTTGCACCACTTGATGTAGATTCCGATGAGGACAATGATTTATAGACTCAATAGACAAAACAGACAAGTGCGGCAAAGTGGAGGGAAAAAATGGCGAAGCATATATGGCAGGACGGGACACGCATGTCATGAGGAGTCTAGTTTCTAGTTCGTGGTAATTGGACTTAATTTGTTATACTTAAGACTTTGTTTAATAGCCACGTCTTTATTTGTAATAGTTATGACTTTTATATCTCAATCTAGGTTGTTCTTCTTTAAATAATAATTAATCACTAATATATGTTAAGTACAATATTAATAAGTTAATTTGGATTAAATTGATACATAAATATTTAGATTAAATTTTTTCAATACATTATATTATTAATATATTATATTATTGATGATAGTAATAATAATAATATTACTTTAAAAAATATTCTTAATATAATAAGTGTTTATCCATGGAAGTTAATTAGTAATAAGAACTTAATAACTATATAAATATCATATTTTCAAATACGTCATCATTAGTTGTCTCACTCAAATTGTCCTATTATCCTCGATTATCTCAATCAAAGTCTCCTATTACTTGAGTTTATCTCACTCTATCCCCCCCCTCAAACTTATCACAAGTGCCTAAATTATCCAAGTGAGACAATTGTCCCAAAAGGCCCCAAAACATCCCAATGAATAACCCCCCCCCCCCAACCAAAGACTAAAATTAGAATATGAATAGTTTGATTGGAGACACAAAGAGAATTAGGAGATAAAAATGTTATTGGCTTTCCAAACTATGTGAGCCTTATAACATAATTAACATTAATTAATATAGATACTTTTAACTCCTTTAATTCTTTCTATAACTAATAAACTATGGTATTTATCTAATATACACAGTAATTTACTAATTTTATCATCATATTAGGACGAGACTCAGATCAAATTTGCTACAAAATTAGGCATCTTGCGATCAATTATCATCAATGTATCAATCATTCAATCACTTCTAAGAGGGAATATAATATGACAACTATAATTGTCTCTATTTCCACCATCAATTACACAGCTCAACAATCGTTCGGTCCACTCAAACCAAACCAAGTGCAAGTTGTTAATGGTAACCTCTTGTCTATTTCCAATATTCACACTAGTACCCTCCATACTTGCACCTCATGCTTCCTAATACCTTTCAGTTTACAAAACACAATGACATTTATCTTGCTTTCATCATGACTTTTTTCTTATTAAAAAACTTCTAGGGCAAGGTATCAAAGGGACGTCTGACCGTGGTCTCCACCTTTTGCCCACCATCATATCGAATCGCTCTATGTTATCCAGTCTATATTGTTCGTTTGACAACTCTATCGGTTGTTTTGGTCTAGCTAGTTTCCAAACTTATCTTCATGGGTGGGATCAACATCTTGGTCACCCTCACGATAAAGTTATGTGTCAAGCACTGTTTTAAATATCGGCCGATAACCGATATTATCGGCCGAGTTATCGGATTTGGGAGCTCTCCGATAGGATAACTTGGATTTTTAATCGGTTATCGTTTTTGGCAAGTTATCGGGGAGTTATCGGCGTTATCGGTACTTATCGGCCGATAAGTAAGGTTTTTTTATCGGGATTATCGGCCGAT